GTCTTGACAAACGTGTAATGTCCTGTATCTACCACTTGAGTGTCATACAGAGTATTTTCACTGCCCTAAAAATCCCCTGTGTTCTGCCTATTCATCCCTCGCACTGCTCAGCCCCTGGCAACTAATAATCATTTTACTGTCTCCATTGTTTTTCCTTTTTCCTCCTGTCTTATAGTTGAAATCATACAGTATGTAGCCTTTTCAGATTGGCTTCTTTCACTTCGTAATAAGCATTTAAGGTTCCTTCATGTCTTTTCAAGGCTTGATAGCTGATTTCTTTTAGTGCTGAATCATATTCCATGGTCTGGATGGACCACACTTTATTTATCCATTCACCTACTGAAGGGCATCTTGGTTGCGTCCGAGTTTTGGCTGCTATAAACATCTGTGTGCAGGTCTTTGTGTGGACATATGTTTTCAAATCTTTTGAGTAAATACCAAGGAGTATGGTTGCCAAATCATATGGTAAGAGTATGTTCAGGTTCATAAGAAGCTGAAACTGTCTTCCAAAGTGGCTGTACCATTCTGCACTCCATCAGCAGTGAAAGGATCCTGGTCAGCATCTGGAATTGTCAGTGTTCCAGACCCTGGCCATTCTCACAGGTGTGTAGTGGTATCTTATTGTTGTTTTACTTTGCATTTCCCTGATGACATATGATGTGGAACATTCTTTCATATGCTTATCTGCCACCTGTATATCTTCCTTAGTGAGTTGTCTTTTAAGATCTTTGGCCCATTTTTTAATTGTATTGTTTTCTTATTGTTGAGTTTCAAGTGTTCTTCATATATTTGCAATACAAACGCTCAGATATGTTTTTGCAAGTATGTCTTTCCAGCCTCTGACTTGTCTGTTCAGTCTCGTAACAGTGTCTTTCACAGAGCAGAAGTTTTTAATTTTAATGAAGTCCAGCTTATCAATTTTTTCTTTCATGGATTGTGCTGCTTTTAGTGTAGTATCTCAAAAACTCATTTCCAAAGCAAGGTCACCTAGATTCTCTCCTACGTTCTCTTCTAGAAGTTTTACAGTTTTGCCTTTCACTTTTAGGTCTCTGATCCATTTTGAGTTGAATTTTTATGAAAGGTTTGAGGTCTGAATCTACATTTTTCTCCCCACATGGATGTTCAGTTGTTCCAGCATGATTTCTTTCTTTTTTAAAAAAAATTAATTAATTTATTTTATTTTTGGCTGTGTTGGGTCTTGGTTGCTACGCGCGGGCTTTCTCTAGTTGCGGCGAGCGGGGGCTACTCTTCGTTTTGGTGCACGGGCTTCTCATTGTGGTGGCTTCTCTTGTCGCAGAGCGCAGGCTCTAGGAGCGTGGGCTTCAGTAGTTGCAGCACGTGGGCTCAGTAGCTGTGGCTCACGGGCTGTAGAGTGCAGGCTCAGTAGTTGTGGCGTGCGAGCTTAGTTGCTCCGCTGCATGTGGGATCTTCCCGGACCAGGGTTCAAAGCCGTGTCCCCTGCATTGGCAGACAGATTCTTAACCACTGCGCCACCAAGGAAACCCTAGCATGATTTCTTGAAAAGACTGTTCTTTATCTGTTGAACAGCCTTTGATCCTTTGTCAGTGATCCGTTGCGTGGGTCTGAGTGGGTCTGTGTCCTGGCTCTTTACTCCAGTTCATTGATCCATTTGTCTGTTCATTCACCAATACCCCATTGTCTTAACTTTTGTAGCTTTACAGTAAATGTGGAAGTCAAGTACGGTCAGCCCTCTGACTTTCTTTTTCTCCTTCACTATTGTGTTGGCTACTCTGGGTTCTTTGCCTTTTCATATAGACTTTAGAATCAGTTTGTTGATAATCACAAAATAGCTTGGTAGGGTTTTGATTGGGATTTTGTATTGAATCTATAGATCAAGTTGGGAAGAACTGATGTGTTAATGGTATTGAGTCTTCCTATCCATGAATGTGAAATATCTCTCCATTTATTTAAATCTTCAATTTCTCAGTTTTGTAGTTTCCCTCATATAGATCTTGTACATATTTTGTTAGATTTATCCCTAAGTACTTTTTTCAGTGCTAATGTATTGTGTTTTTAACTTTAAATTCCATTTGTTCACTGCTGGTATATCAGAAAGCTGAATTTTATGTATTAACCTTGTATCCTATAGCCATGGTATAAGCACCTAATTCGAGGCATTTTTGGGGCTCAATTCTTGGGATTTTTTTTACATAGACAGTCAGGTTATGCATGAACAAAGACATTTATTTCTTCCTTCTCAACCTATATACCTTTTCTTTCCTTAATGCACTAGCTAGAATACAGTGTTCCAATACAGTGTTGGCTAGGAGTGGTGAGAGGGGAAATGCTTGCCTTCTTCCCGTTCTTAGGGGGAAAGTATCTAGTTTCTCACCATTAAGCATGAAGTTAGCTGTATGTTTTTGTTTTTTTTTTTTGCGGTACGCGGGCCTCTCACTGCTGTGGCCTCTCCCGTTGCGGAGCACAGGCTCCGGACGTGCAGGCTCAGCGGCCGTGGCTCACGGGCCCAGCCGCTCCGCGGCATGTGGGACCTTCCCGGACTGGGGCATGAACCCGTGTCCCCTGCGTCGGCAGGCGGACTCTCAACCACTGCGCCACCAGGGAAGCCCCTGTCGAGAATTTTTGACTCTATGTTCATGAGAGAGATTGCTCTGTACATGTTTTTGGAGGGAGGCTGTCTTTCTCTGCTTTTGTTGTCAGGGTAATATTAACCTCATAAAATGAGTTGGCAAACATTCCTTCCTCATCTATTTTCTGGAAGAGATCGTATAAAATTTTGTGTTAATTCTCACTTAAATGTTAGATAAAATTATCTTGTGACACTATCTGTGTCTGGGGATTTATAAATTCGATTTCTTTAATGGTTTTGAGATTTCTAAGGTTACTAAGGTTATCTTTCTCATCTTGGCTGAGTTTTGGTACTTTGTGGGTTTTGAGAAATGATCCATTTCTTCTACATTGTCAAATTTGTGCATATAAATTTTACAGTATTCCCTTACTATCATTTTGATGGCTGAAGGATCTGTGATGATATTTCCTGTTTCATTCCTGATGTGGTGATTTATGTCTTTTTATTTTTGTCAGTATTGCTAGAGGTTTACAGATTTTATTGAGTTTTCTTAAAGAGCTACATTTTGTTTCATTGATGTTTTTTCTATTGTTTTCCTATTTTCAATTTTATTGAGTTACACTATTATCTTCATTATTGCCTTCCTTCTGCTTGCTTTGGGTTTCTTTTGCTTTTCTTTTTCTAGTTTTCTGAGGTAAGAACTTAGAACATCATTTTGAGATTTTTCCTTTCTATGTATACATTTAGTGTTATAAATTTCCCTCTTAGCTGCATCTCGCAAATTTTGATATGTTGTGCTTTCATTTTCACTCAGTTCAATTTATTTTAAAATTTCCTTTTAGACTTCCTCTTGGACCCATGGATTATTTAGGAGTGTTGGCTACTCTCCATGTTTGAAGATTTTCCTTTTGTCTTTCTGTCATCAATTTCTAGCATGACTCCATCTGTCATTGATTTCTACTATGATTCCATTATGATCAGAGAAAAAACTCTGTATGATTTCAGTTTTTTTTTAATTTGCTAAATTAAAAAAAAATTATCCAGGATATGGTCTGTCTTGGTGAATGTTCCATGGGTGCTTAAAAGGAATGTGCATTCTGCTGTTCTTGGGTGATGTTGTTTTATGACATTGCTCAGTTCTTCTGTATTCTTGCTGGTTTTCTGTTTAGAGGTTCTATCAATTGCTAACAGAGGGGTCATGAAGCCCCTAACTGTAAATGTGGATTTCTCCTTTTCTTCTTTAAGTTCTTTCAGTGTTTTCTTCATGTTTTTGAAGTTCTGTTGTTTGGTGCATACATATTTAGGATTGCTATATCTTTTTGGTGAATTGATTCTTTACTCATTGTGCAATGTCTCTCTTTGTCCCTAGTGATTTCCTTTGCTCTGAAGTCTACTTAATCTGATATAATGTAGCCATTCCTTTTTTGATTTTGCATTATATATCTTTTTTCATCCTTTTACTTTCAAACTACTTTTGTACTTAAATTTGAAGTGAGTTTTGTGAAGACAGTGTATATTTGGGTTGTGTGTTTCTATCCATTCTGCCACCCTCTGTTGTCTAATTGGTGTATTTAGACCCTTTACATTTAGAGCAATTATTGAAACTTAGGGCTTATGTCTGGCATTTCAATTTTTGTTTTGTTTCTTCTGTTTCTCATTCCTCTGTTCCTCTTTTCTTGCTTTCTTGTGGATTACCTCAGCATATTTTAGAATAGCATTTTTATTTATTTATAATGTTTTTGATCATATCATTCTATATAGCTTCCTTAGTGGTTGTTCTAGATATTACAACATATATAAGTAACTCATCACAGCCTCCTTATATCAACATCTTACTACTTTGAGTGAAGTATTGAATGTTTACTCCCATTTGGGTACCTTTAACCCTTTTCTACTTTTTAAATAAAATTGTCTTAAGTATTTCCTCTATACACATGGAGCACTACATCAGGTAGTGTTAAGTGTTATAATGTTTGCTTCAACCATCAAATCTAATTTAAGAATCTCGTGAGAAGGATAGTCTATGATTTTTACCTCTATTTTTACCCAGTGAATTAAACTGCTAGAGTTGCCATAGCAAAATTCCACAGATGGGGTAGCTTAAACCACAGAAGTTTATCTCTCACAGTTCTGGAGGCTGGAAGTCCAAGATTAAAGTACCAGCATGGTTGGGTTCCTGGTGAGAGATCTCTTCCTGGCTTACAAAGGGCTTCCCTCTCCCTGGGTCCTCACATGGTCCTTCCTTTGTGTGAGAGCACCCCTGGTGTCTCTTCCTCCTCCCAAAAGAGCACTGGTCCTATTGGGTTAGGGCCCCACCCTTATGTAACCTTACTTACTATTTTAAAGGCTCTATCTCCAAATATATTACATTGAGGGTTAAGCCTTCAACATAAGGACTTGGGGGGAACATAATTCAGTCCATAACACTCAACCATTTCTTTCCCTTTCTGAAAAAACTATTGAACATCTCAAGGATTTGTGTATCATCTTGTGCAGGGGCCATGCTCATCTTCTCTGCATTGTTTCAGTTTTAGTATATGTATTGCCAAAGTAATCCTTCCAATAGGTTTTTGAATACTTAAATAATTCTTGTTGATTGAGTCTGTTTCTCACCACAGAATCTGTTTCTCACATAGGTTTTTTTATCTTTATAATATATTGAATAGGTTCATTTTCAAAAGCAAGTTAACATCCGCTTGTCTATGTTGACTAAATTTCTACATGTCCTTAAAACATTATAACTTTATCAGTGTATTGGAGCAATTGGTGAAATTTAGGATGTAAATTAGATAATAGCATTATAGCAATATTCAGTTCTTAAATTTGGTCATTTTACTGAGGTTATATAAGAGAATGACATTTTTATTGGGAAATATATGATGAAATATTTAGGAGTAAACGGTCATTATGTCTGTAACTTTCTCTTAAATGGTGAACTAATAATAATAATAGTATAATTATATGTATATGTACATACACGTTTACATATAAAAACGTATGTAAAGAGAGAGAAAGGGAGACATAAAACATGCATTTTATGTGACACAAAATGAAGTATGTTTACAATTGATACATCTAGCTGAAGGACTTATGGGAGTTCATTGTACGATTCTTGTACCCTTGTATAAGTTTGAAATTTTTTCAAAATAAACAGTTAGAAAAACCTTAGAGTTAAAAAGATAATTCCCTCTCAATTTTACCTGGGGATATCATAGATTCCAAGATAAAAATAGCCTTCGTTCTATTTTTCTTCAGTATATTAGCATTACTAGTAAAGATAGAACGAAAACAGAACTACAATGCTAACTGCAAGTATAATCAATAGTCAGTATTGTTTCCAAGCACAGAAAACAGTTCAACAGAACTTGGCATTTTTGATTCCCTTGGACGGTCCAGTGATACTGTTTAAGATGTGCAGAACCTGTGGGAAAACATCCTCTTCATAAACCAGTTGACAAGCTTGTTATGAACTAGAAATCATTTGAGACAGAAGCCGTAGGCCAATAAGTTCTCTGCGGCTGAAGATTGGAAGAAATCCAACTAAGCTCTTATACAGATATGGCAGCGGATTGGATGGCACTCTGATTAAAGTGGGTAAGCCCATGAAACATTTGTGAACAAGAGCACGTTTCTGGAAATGGAGGTGACTGATTTGGTCCCTTCAGTGCAGGCAAAATTTCAAAATGGGTTGAGAAAATGAATACAGGTCATAAAGGGAAAGCACGTTAAGTGACCTAAGATCTAGATTGTAATATCTAGACATATTTGAGAATGTTTATAAACTCTGAGATACAAAAAATTCTAGACTAAAACAAGGAAATAAAATATTTGAGAACCTTTACATTTGTTTTGCCTGGAGGACTGGAACGATAGGCCTACTGGGGTGGGAGAGACTAGATGCTTTCTGGCAAATACACTGATCCCGAGGTTAGACAGAGCATACATTTGGCTCCAGGAATTTGGGCCAGTTTGAGAGGGAAGGGACTGAGCAAAACCAGACAGGCTGACCTGGTCCTGAGTCCCAGGCACAGCGGGTTAGCACAAGAGGATCACAACTAACCAGTTTCACTGAGCATCTCGTGTACTATGACGTTTTCTTCATCTGGGTACCTTGTACCCCAGAGCAATACCAGGGTACTCTTAGTAAGGAAGAAAATGGGTGACAGGTGTTGGGTGGGCAGCCAGCAGCGAGGCCACCAAGCGAGAGTCCTGGCCACCCGCCGGGCCTGGCAGTGACTCCACGCTGACACCGGGCAGATGGCCGTGAAGCGCCTGCACCTGGTGCTCGGAATGCTTGTAGAACCAGCAATGAGAGGAACCAAAACAAATAAGCAGGAAGTCGTCAGTACTGTTATAGATCTGATACATTGCATTCATACTTAACCAGAGAACAAGAGACCAAACACAGCCGCTGTCATTCTGCATAAGACGCAGTGCCATCATCGTAATTCAGAAAGATAGGTTCCGGCACCATCAAACCAGAGCGAAGATGCACGCATCTTAAAACTGGGGCTGAGAAGTTATTACTGAAATTTGGGTCTTGGCCACACTGGGCTGCATTTGGAATCTTAGCCTTAAATTACAGGGGACCTTGCCCCTTGGCCCGGTACAAAACGGTGAGGCAAGTTTCCCACTTTGTACATTGTGGTGGAAATGGGAAGGACACAGCTCGGCTGACAGTGTTAATAAACTGCGGCATTGAAGGATATTTGTAAAAAGATATCTCACGTTTCCCTCTAAGGGCCTTCTTTCTCGGCTTACGGAGTGGAGGGAAAAGTGTGAACAGCGAGAAACTGCAGACAAGTGACCCCGAGGCCCAGAGAAGGTGAGTTGTGTGCGTGTGTTTCCTCCACTTTCTGCTGGACCCCTCCACACTTCCCCGCCCCGCCGCCCTCCCTCCCCGTCCGCCTCCTTCCACACTGGGCCCCATGTGGATTCAGCTGGTTCAGCCTGAGAGAAGGCCTGAGGTGGTAGTGGAGAAGAAGAAAAGGAAGGTCACAGACAAATGCTTTTCTTTATCATGAGAATACCCACAAAGCCTGGCTGAGGGCTGAGCAAATGTTCCCGTCCTATAGATGTTCCTACGGGGGGCTATCTTTACTGATCTGGAGCCTCAGACTCAAAGCCAGATACATTAGCTCAGTTTCCCAAAAGCATGTTGAGGTCACGTTAGGATAACCTGAGCCATATTTGAGCTTCTTAGGGTGCATGTGAATTCTTGAAACTTGTGGAATTTAATGAACAAACTTTCTTCCAAAGGCTTACTGTCATGGATTATGAAAGCTAGCATTGGATTCTGTTTAATTCATTTAGGGGCTATAGGTCAAGGGTGTAGCCTCCAGAATTCCCCTAAACTCAGAAAAGGGTCAAAGACCCACACCTATAATATGTACTGTTATATGCACAGATGTGCAAACTTACAAGCACACAGGTGCATCTCTTGTCTGTCAAATGAGGGAGTTTGAGAAGATGATCTTCTTAGAGACTCATTCAGACTGTAAAATGCCATGAATATACATGTCTAGAAATCTAGGGACCAGATACCACCACCCCAGTGGGACAAGTAAACTGGAAACACACACACACACACTTACTAATGCCTTTCATGTGTAAAACGAATCTTGTCCTATTGCTAGTATAGTCTAGCTTTAAATCTGATTCTTTAAGCAAAGACTATAATGGTAAGTCATATGCACATGCTCTGGGGCTGTCTGAAAAATGTACCCATCTCTTTCCTTATTTCTGGTTTCTCTTCCTGAGTCATCCTTGGCTGAACGAGTGTCCCCCAAATGTGCTGGATCACAGTGGTCACTGGGGGCCCCTGGTAGAATGTGTAGTTCTAGGCCTTTGCCTGAAGACTCTGATTTAGTTGGTCTGTGTTGGGACCCAGGAATCTATATTGTTATCAAGCTTCTCAGTGAATTCCTGTGACGATTAGACAAACTTGAGAAATCCTGAATCAATGCACCTGGCTGTGACCACTGGTGCTGATTCGATCTGGCAGACATGAAATTAAAGGATGTTTCATGATCACAGAGCTCCTTCCTTGGAGCACTGAATGAGAATGAGTTCTGAGTTATCCATGAAGTTTCCTCACCAAGGTCTTAGGGTTTGAAAATGCAGCACTATGCCATTGATTTCTTAGTCCTTCCATTCTTCTGCCTTCCTGGTCCTACTTGTTTCTTGGTTTAGTTTCATCTGTTTGGAATTTTCTCTAACCTGAAATTCTATCACATGGGATTACTTTAGCTTTCCAGCGATTTCTATGTTTTTTTAAAAAAATTTCTCCTCATCTTCTACATTTACAGTGATGTAATTTACATCACTATTTTTGGATTTTTAAAATATTGTCTCAAATACTGCACTTGATACCACCCTTAATTACACTATGCTAAATAATGTCTTTTTGTTTGTACCAATCTTAGCCTGGGGATCTAGCTGTCTGTCAGATGTTTTTGCTGTCCAATGGCATCAGTGTTATCTTGTCAACTAATTTATACTGGAAGGCCGAGGCAGAGATGTCTAAGTATTCATAGCATACCAAGAATATTTTGACATGCATCCAAAAGCATTATGAATGTAAAGTATGGAAATAACTACTGGGTTTGCTCATCATAAGAAACAACGTTACTGAGTCCAAGCTGCACTGCTCTGCACGACAGGCCAATAAATCGAGAGGCGAGCTGTCGGGACAAGGAACGGCGACTTTATTCAGGAAGCCAGCAGACGGAGGAGGTGGTGGACTCGTGTCCCAAAGAACCATGTTGCCTGAGTTAGAATTCAGGCTTCTTTTATACTAAAAGGGGAGGGAGTAAAGTCAAACACTTCCTGGTTCTGGTCCACCTCAGGAGGGAATGTGTGAATTTCTTCCTTCCTGCAGTCATTCACAGATGGGCCTGGTCATAATGTTTCCTGTGAGCTAAACAAGGTATTTTAGCTTAATGCTCATGACCTGCAAGGCAGGGTTCCCAAAGATGGGCCATTATGTATAATTTAAGCTTATTGGCAGCATCCCTTTAGTGATTAACTTGTAATAGAAGACAAGGGTCCTTCCCTATCACAACAATGCAGGGCACACTGACTGTGTGTAACACGTGAATCTGTGCATTAGAAATACAAAGAGGGATAAGTGCCCTTTTAGACAGTCTTAAAGTCTAGCCTTGGAGGTAAGACGTGAACATAAAAAATAAAAATAAAACATTTCTTTCAGAACAAGACTATCTGTAAATCAGATGAGAAGGATTCTCGAAGAAAAAGGTTTCTTGGTCACTTACGTCAGATGTATTCTACTTCCCTTGCTAACATGCAGTTCTCCAGGAGGTAAGTCCCTTTCTAACACATGCATGAATGCCTATTCTGAATACCTTTTGCACAGTCATATTCATGGTGTTTTCACAGGTATATGAAAGAACTGTCACTCCACAATATGGTTTCAGTACTATTTCCCAGTGAAAGAAGCGTCATAAATAATCCATAAGAAAGTAACTAGCATAGTGTAAATCTGAAAAGTAAACAGAAGTAACTCCTGTCCTTTGAGGTTGCCGGGACTGTAGCGGG